GCGCCCACGTTTTATTGGATAGACAATATTTTTATGCCATAATTTTGATTTACCAATTAACCGCGACCGCGGCGGTGAGCCCCCCTTCTGGGTGCAGCCGGGTGCCCCCCGCCCCCCAAATGGAAATCCTACTTTTAAAAACTCACGGTGTAGGTATTGAGTGTCTTATTTCGTATGGAATATCTTTCATAGCAACTTCAACGCAATCTTCTAGATTCCTGAGATTCATTTCCAAGTATTCCAGATTTTGATAGGACTTCATTTCCATCCAGCTCTTGAAAATCACATTCAGGTCTTCATTAGTCAAAAATGTGTTCCATAATACAATTGTACTTATTTTTAAATTCATCATATAGTCCAACGTGAGCCATGATCCAAATTCGATTTGCAGCCGTTCAATGGTCTCCGGAATTTTTAAAGGAAGTCTATCCATTGTATCCACGTTGACTTCCAATTGGTTCGTGTGTTTCATATTATCCAATATATACTCAATTTCATCTTGTCGTTGATCTTTTCCAAAAATTCGCAAAATCGTAACTTCATCAAAAGTTGAACGCAACGAATCGACGATTTCTCTGCATTGTCCTTCGAAACTGTTCATGAACAAATCTACACTAATTATGTTAATACCCATCAAGCTTCTGACGTAAAGATAGAGTTCCTTCATAGAATCCAATGGATTCTCAGAATGTTTTTGAACAATCTCTTGCGACTGGTCTGGCCACGTGACGTACTCCCGAGTTCCGTCGTTTTCTTTTTCTGCAGTCCACCCAAGACAGTAGTGTATGGGATCGTTCCCAATACTTAACTTGGTACAATCAGTGATACGGAGATGCAATAAACCAAAAGATATCTTGATTGTTGAGAGTTTTCTGCATTTGTTTGAAGCTCGAGAGAAGTTGACACTGAAAAATGGGAAATTTCAACTTCAGAAAAACAAGAATTGAACTAAACTCAGATATTGTCAAACCACTCCTGTTCGAAAATAATAAACCCCAATTTGTGTTTTCGAACAAAAAAGAAAAAACTCACTAATCAAAGGGATCCAGAACATTTAAAACTTCTCGAATAGTAACCAAATCGAGGTATAGAAACCTGAAACGGGCTCGATTTTCCATGATCAGAAGGCGATTTTCGAAGGATATAAAAATTGGGAAGGTACTAAATTGGCAAGGAAATTGGGGAAAAAAGGAGGAGGAGAGAATTGACAATGGCAGATGGTATCCTGAGAATAATCGTAACAGCTGTACTCGCCTGTTTAGGACGGTTCTGAGGGAAAGTGGATTAAGATTAGTCCACGGGTTTTTTATAGTAACGGAAACTGAGAGATAGTATCTGCAACTGATTTTTGTTTCCGTGGGTAAACCTTGAAAACCCATAACACTATCATGCAGTCGTCTGGACAGTTCTGATGGAGGTTTTTCTATGCTTGCACTTTGAGCCTAACTATCTCAATTTCTGTAAGAGATATCAAAAAGTTGAAAACTAATAAAATGTTGGTGATATCATGGCAAACATTTTATCTGTTGACAACTTTTTGATATCTTCGATAGGAACTGAGATAATTGAGTTCAAAGTGCAATCATATCTTGGATAGAAAAATATGTAGTTCAATCTGGTTTTATACCTTTTCGAATTTAGAACTCATTATTAATCTAAATTACAAAATGTGGGTTTATGATGAGTTTCAAATTATGTAAAAACCCAAAAAAAAGGGACTATAAGTCAAAAAACCAAACTTTCAAAAACGGCATTTGTAAACCAAAAAAGTGTGGAGAATTTTCACTCCTAGGAGCCTAGATAATTTTTGGTCAAGGTTTTCGGGATGTATGAACTTGTAGTACTCGTCCAGGTCTTTTTATACCATTTTGTTTGGTCCAAGAATATAGACCATCCTATCTTTGGAGCTACACGGTTGGGCTTCCAATTTCCTCTCCCCCTTCATCCCGTATCAAATGAGTATGGAATGGTCACTTGAGTATCAATTGGCATACACATACACACAAAATATTTATCGGCTACTGAGCACTTTTCGGGGTGGAAAAAAAAGCGGGGCACACAAAAGACACAAAAGCTCATAATCGTCGGTAAACAGGTGACGAGAAGAACTGTGATGTTGA